AACTCATCAAGATTTGAAGGATTTCCTGAATGTTTCGAAGAATAAAGCAATTGATCGTAGGTTGGCCTAGGCAAATCGTATTGCAGTCCTAGTATATAGTAGAGTCAAGGCGAAAGTGATGTAGTGGAAAGTGGCCCTGCTTACGACGACACGGTCAGCGCTACAAATCCTGAATCACACGCGGTGCAGGCCAACCAAGCCTTTCATCACTCCGGTGTGGGTGTCCCCCAACAGGCCCACCGCGCGGCGAAGGAAGAGACGCAGACGCGGCAAAGGGACGAGTCGCAGCGCATACTGTAGCGGTTAGGCGTCAGGTTAAATAGAGTGTACCATACTACGTCTCATATCGCACAGCACGCGCTGCGACTCGTCCTTTGCCGCATCTGCGTCTCTTGCTTCGCCGCGCGGTGGGCCTGTTGGGAGACACCCCTCCGGTGTAGGTAAGTTGGTACCAGGATTTTTTTTTTGGTGGAATAGAAACACTGACCTGTACCTTGACCGCCCCACGGGTTATTGTATTTAGTAAATCGCCTTCAAACTTTTACTACCTTTTTGGATGGGGATAGAATGTGCGGCGCATCCAAAAATGATCAACATTCAAAAGAAAACTTACGCAGTAGAGGAAAACAGCATCGTAAGCGTAGTACATTTCAGCTAGTTTTGCACTTGCATGATACTTCGGGATGAGGGAAGGATTATCTTTGGACCTTTCAAGATATTGCATACTCAAAAGCCAGTGATAATACCTAAATTAGGATTAATTGATCTAGTTCTCTATGCATTATTTCCTAAATCGATACTATTTCGAAACAACAAATTTTTCCAATAAAAATGATCTATTCGACCTGACTCTTCCATATCCTCCTTCAATATTTTCATGTAATTGATTAATATTAATCCATTTTTTAATAACCTACTATACACTTTGTTCATCGTGTCACCATGTGAGTTCACCATGCTCGTGAATAGCTCAAAGAATATTTAACTATTCATTTGACGAATGCATGATTTACTATGAGAAAACATGACCAGAGGAGAAGGCATAATGTATGGTTCGGCTTCTGGAGCAGAGATTTTAGCATGTTTTGGCAGGACGCGCACTCAGTGAAGCTGACGTTGACTTGCTATATATGTATGTTCTTGGTTGACTCACCCACACATGCCCCAAGATCAACGCAGCTGATAAATTCACAGTCGGGATTTTTCGTTCAAAACAGAGATAAGATCTGAACATGCTCATAAGAATGATTTATCAGTATGGATTGTCTAGGTTGCACCTAACCACGTTGCACTGGAGCGCGCACTCCGACCGGCGCACGTGTACAGAGGTCTTTTCTTCGGGACCAAACCTGGAGCAGTATAGCATCTGCTTGCGCGACCACCCGGAGGGAGCCCTTCAAGATCCTTGTAACGGTCGCCTGGTCGCGCAAGCAACCGCCCCGCCTTTTGCGTGACGAGGCCGATCCGGCTCTCGTCGTGGAGTGGTAAAGAAAACGGCGAAAACAATTTCGATGACATGTGGCACTAGGTGTCCCACCGCGAACGTGGTTACAATTAAACCTATGCAACCATACTGAGAAGTCATTCCTGTAACAAGCTCAGCTCACCATCGCATGGGATTTCGGCTGATTGTGAGCTCCCCCAATTCAATGAAGGGCACTCTCCACCCTCCTTCGTCCACCCCCATGGCCAAGCGAATTGTCTCTCTTCTCCGAATTTGAACGGTTTGATTCAATTGCAATTTTGCAAATTTTTTTTTGCAATTTCCAATGTCTAATACGTGGCCACCCAAGGAGCACATTCTTTTATGTGCCACTTTGGCTTTGCCCGATTAACTGTCCACAGAGTGTACCTTTCGCAGATTTTTTCCTGAAAATGACTTCTCTTGCGTGAAACTTTCGTTGTCTATATTGATCGCAACAGATGTATTCATGTTGAGACGGATGCAAGAATTTTTCGTGCACGATTCCTTCATCGATTCCATTACTTTTTGGCACTATAATTAATTACAAGAACTAACCACTAAAAATAAACACGATTCTATGTCCCATGAATGCGTTCCTACATTAAGCATTACATGCAAGAAGCTGTTTTTCGAGAGAGTGCGGTATGCCTTAAACGGCCCACCGCTCCCTCCACATCCTGTTATTCGTACCACGTTGTTTGTTGTTTGCCTACCTTGAATTTTTTTACTGTTCCATAGCGCCACTCTCAAAATAATTTAACATACATTCCAACAGTCATTCCAAATCATCAGCGAATAAAAATAATTTAAGACCTTACCCGGCATCAGCAAAACGATTCTCATCGACAGCATTACCAGTAAGCTGTTCCAGTACCCGTAATGCTTCCTGATCGCGACCTGCTTTGTGATATGCTGAAATTGCGCGTATAACTACAACACTTTGAACAAGGATAAGCCCTTCATTACGCTATGGTTATGTTAAATCTTACTTCGTGTCGTGACTTTCAAACGACGTGAGGTAAAAGATCGCGCCTGGTAGAGTGTGCGCGGGACGTGGCGCGCCCGTGCCATCGAAGGTGCTCGAG